CCCCTCTTTCCTCCCCTCCCTCCCCTCTTCCCTCCCTCTCCTCACCCCTTCCTCCTCCCTGTGCCTGCTCTTGGCTGGTCCTGGACCTACCTGGCTCCCCGTTCCCCCAGCTGACTGTGCTTGAAGCCACCCCCCTGGACCCTGGACCACCCACCTGCTCCTGGCTGTATGTTTCAGATAGAAGGAGTCTCGGACAAGTGTGTTCTCCACAAAAGTGACTCAGACCTCAGGATCTCTGCCGAGGGCAAGACCAGGTAAGGCCCGGCCCCGGAGGCCCAGGACCAGGGCAGGGGCCCTGCTGACCATCTCCAGCTGGGCTGGCTACACAGTGCTTCCTCTAAGCCCCTGGTACCACGGCAGCCCATTCCCTCCCAGCCACACTTCCTGGTACAGCCTGAACCAATCCTCAGGCCCCTCCCTGTTGCCTGCTGGGAACCTCACTGCCCCGCTGGAGGGAGGCAGGGCTGAGCCCCCTCAAGCACCCTTAGACCCTGGTCCCCTGGACCTGGCCCTGCCCTGGGTGCCCACAGCTAGCCCTTGTCCCGGTGCCACAGGGAGTTCGAGGTTGGAGCCCTGCGGCAGGAGCTGGCCACCCTGCTGTCAACCGTGCAGCTGCTCAAGGAGGACCAGCCTGGGCGGAAGATCGCTGAAGTCCAGGGCAAGCTGGCCACGGTAGCTTGGGACCGGGGCCACCCGTGCCGTCCACACCCAGCAGGGGGCCTCTGGTTCAGAGGAGCAGCTGTGCTGAGGGGTCCTGGCAGGCCCCCTGCCCCAGGGGAGGCCGCAGGGGGCATTTTCCAGCTGTTCCCCTGGATGGCTCAGCCCCTGGGAGTAACAAATGGGGCATCTGTCTGGAGTCCCCGCACTGGGGCATCAGCAGGGGTGATGGCAGGATAGACCCAAGCGCTGGCTACTGGCCCATCCGCCCAGTGGATCTGCCCTTTGGGGCCATCTCCGGCCACCTTGTCATCAACTAAGCTTCTGCCCAGGCCCCACAAGGGGTCGAGGACACGCATGTCAGTGGGCGACTGGAGCCCAAGCTCCTGGAACTCTGCAGTTTGGGGGCCTTGGGGACAGCAGGACACCAGCAGGCGGGCCTGTCCATGCTTCCACACGGGGGTCGTGTTTAGTTTCAGAACCAAATCATGAAACTGGAGAGCAGCATGCAGGCCCACAGGACCATCCAGAACCTCAAGTTTAATACAGAAGCCAAACTGGTGAGGGAGGCCCTTGGGCTGGTGCCACTCATCCCCTGCCCACTGCCCCTCGAAGTCCCTGGGCTCTGTGGGCTCCCGTGCCCACAGTGGGCCACCAGCGACTGTTGCCTGTGATTGCATGTGTGGTGCACAGCTGCATTTCCTCAAAGACAAGGGCCCCCATCCGGCTTGCGCTGCGAGAGATGAGCCCCGTTAGCTGTCCTCCACTGGGGTCTGGTTCCCACATGTCTGGGCCATCCACTGCCCCCATGGCTCCTGGGTCACGCACCCAATCCTGCAGCGCACGCAGGAGACGGCAACCCTGTGGGAGAACACACTGCACCTGGGACACGAGGAGACCCCATGGGCGCGGGCGCTGGCGCTGGGCCGCAGGAAGGCATGCACATCCCTGGAAAGGCCACGGTGCTTCATCAAGGACACAGACCCCGGCAACATGGTGCCTGTGAATCGCTGGGGCGTGTACCAGGCTGTGAGGTGGGCAGTGGGTTCAGGGCTGGGGGCCCAACGGCCACAGGCAGGGGGCCAGGGTCCCAGGGCCATGTGTTATGTCTCTGGCAGGTGGCTGCAGTGGAAGGCAGTCTTTGTGAACCTGGTGGCCCCACGGAGGCCAGGAAGAGTCCCAGAGAAGTCCCACGGCTGGGAGCCCACACGGCAGCGCACACCCCGACCCCTTTCCCAGAAATAAACATGCCAGCCTTGACCCTGTCAGAGCCAGGGTACCCTGATGCCTGCCAGGCACTGTCCTCCCAGGGGCCTGTGGGGTTGGAGAGGGGTAGAGGGGCCCCAGGCAGTGGGAGTGACCAGGACGCGAGGGGCCCCATCCCCTGACCCCAGGATTCGTCCTGTCCTGCTCCGGTCTCAGGCCCTGTTGCTTTCCTCAGCCCCGGAGCCTCACTCCTTCCCGGCCAGGCCCACAGGCCCCAAGGTGGAAGGGGCTGCTGCCCCCGCCGAGACCCGCGTGAGCCACCCCTGCCAGGGATGTGAGGAGGACATGGGGAACCCAGGGGCACACAGACACCTGGCTCGGGATTCCCGGGCTCATCCCACCAGCCCCTCCCACCCGGGGTGCCCCCGCAGAGGAAGCGGCTTCTCAGCACTAATCTGGGGAGTAAACAACCTATGTTTGCTTACTCCATCGGCGTGTCCCCTCTTCCTGTCTCTCCAAGGGAGCCCTCGGCTCATCTGCAGTTGCTGGCCCGGCCACCTGCCGCAGGGGCTGAGAGGAAGGACCACACGTCCCGGGCCATCCACTCCGGGGTCCTGCTGTGTGGGCAGGCCGTGGGAGACCCAGCCAGGGTGGGCTCTGTCCTTGGCTGCCCCTTACTGCTGACCTGGCATCCTGGGGAGGCTCTGCTGCTACCAAGGGCCCTCACGATCACCCACTACCCCTGTCCCATGCTTGGCCCTGGTGGCCTCTGGCGGTGGTAGCCCCTGGGCTAGGGAGCAGCTGCCATTGCCAGGTTTTTCCTGGTGCCGCCCTGGATGGAGGGACTGTGGAACTCTTCCCAGGAGGGTAGGAGGGAGAGCCTGGTGTCTTAGGGAGGGTGGTCCCCACTGTTGCCGCTGACTCCTGGCCCCAGTCCACCTGCTAGGCCTTGACCAGCTATGCCTCCTCCGAGGTCTGGGCACCCCCACTGGGCAGCTCAGGGCAGGACTCAGCCGACCAGCTGGCCAGCAGGTCGCTGAAATCCGGCATGCCAGGATGTAGCAGGCCCAGGGGGCTGGGTGCTGGCTCCTTCCAGAAGGACGGGGGCAGCTTCCTCTGGGTCATGGGTGTGATGTGGCCATACTTCCGCTCCAGCCTCAGTCTGCGGCCAGCTGACACCCTGGGTCCTGGGTACTGTCGCAACCCGTATTCGAACAGTTCAGCCAGGGGCCCCAGGGGCTGTACTCCATCCCTGTCAAGGCTCGGCCTGCACACCTGCCCCTCAGGGCCCCCAGGCTCTGGGGCCTCCTCATCTTCCAGGGGCCCGCCCCGGGCCAGGCGCACCAGGTGGGTATAGTAGAGCTCGCGGGCGGAGCCACTGACCAGATGGCCATCCGCGTAGACATCGCAGGCATCCGGGTCCTGACCCCTGTCCTTGCGGCCGAAGTACCGCTGGATGTCCCCGCTGATGAGCTCCGAGAACCGCAGCAGCTGCAGTGGCGTCTCGGGGCTGCTGGGACTCTGAGGACCTGCTTCTGGGGCAGCCTCGGCCCAGTCTGAGGTCTGGGGAGCGGGGCTCCAGCCCCCTGGCCCCTCACCCTCCAGCTCCTCCTCCTCTTCCTCCTCTTCGGATGTCTCTGGGGGCTCCGGGTCTGAGGGCAAAAAGGAATGGCGAGGTGCCAGAGGCAGCCGGAAGTCACCCAGGGGCTGGACCACTCCAGTGGCCATCTCCTCGCTGTCCCACACTGCTGAGGGCTCCGGGAGAGCGGGCGCTGGCTGGGGAGGGAGACAGGACAGGTTAGTGGTTGGGGCCGGCCATGCCCTCGGGCCCCCAGTGACCGCTGTCAGACCCCAAGAGGCTTTCTGGGCCCCTCGCCTCTCTGCAGCCCTGGCCTCCAGGGGATACTGAGCTCTGCAGGGGTGAGGTGTGGAGAGGGACAGGGTGGTACAGTGGGCGGGTGGCTGTGGTGGGGATGGGCAGCCCTTTAGTGGAGGCCTCCAGGGCCCGGCCGGGTGGCCGGTCACTGGCCAGGAGTGGTGATTGCTGTCTGGGGGGCAGTCAGGGATCCAGGCACGGAGGTGGAGATGGATGGACCACTGGAGTCATGGTCACTTGGGGCTGGGGGACACCCGAGGTGAGGAGAGGAGTCCCAGGGCACTCGGCCTGTCCAGGCTTAGGCTGCCTGAGAGGCGGGGGGGGCGGAGCCTGCCAGGCCTGGGTGAAGGCTGGGGCCTGCTGAGCGGAGCCTGGTCCCAGGCTGGGGTTGCCATGGTGGCAAAACGGTGGACTTCGTGACTCTCACCCAGTGGGCCCGCGTCTGCTTCAACTGGGCCCAGAGCCCTCGTGGGCCTGGCGCATGGTTTGAGGGCCCTGCCTGCCCCAGAAAAGCGAGCTGGGGCTGTCCTGTCCAGCCTGCAGCCGTAGGCCCGGGTTTCCAGCTGCCCCAGTCATTGGGGAGTGAGAGTCGGCATCTGAGTGGCCCTCACCCAGACTCCAGGGCAGAAAATGAGGGAAGGAGCGGGCTCCCAGGGCTGCCACCCCCAGGGGTTGGGGTTGGGGGCTGGCAGGAGGGTCGGGAGGCAACAGCGGGGCCGGCAGTGGCTCTCCCCCCAGCCAGTGGCCTGGCCCGGGTGGGTTCTGAGCCCCAGAGCCCCACCCCCTGGGTAAGTGCTGCCGGTCCTCCACTCAAGGCTAACAGGTGCCCCTGGTGCCATGTAGCCCAAGCCTTTCTTGGAAGGACCCACAGCAGAGGGAGGAAGGAAGGGGAGGAAAGCGGAGGGTAGCAGGGGCGAGCGGCCGCGGCCCTCGGACAGGTCAAGCAGGTGCCTGCCCTTTCTGTATTCCCGAGGCCTCCACCTCCTGCCCTCCCAGCTGGCCACACTGGGGCCCTGTTCTCACTCACAGCCCTGGGGCCCTATTGTAGGAAGTATCTGGTAGCCCGAGCACTGGACTTTGGGGAGAGCCAGGATGAAGGCGTCCTTCTCCCTCAGGCCTGGCCCCATGCCCTGCCTTGATGGATTTGTCCTGCCCGGCCCTAGGGGTCTCTCCTAGGGAATGGGTGGGCTCTGCGGAGACCTAGGCAGAAGGCCTCACAGACCCGAAGCCCCCAGGGATGTGGCTGCCCCAGCAGCACCCCCCGCCTGTCCCCAGGCCCTGGCTCCTACCTGGCCGCAGCCACAGCTCTGGCAGGCCCGCCTCCACGGGGCGCAAGCATTTATAGCTGGGCCCTGCAGCCGCTGGGGCTGGCAAATATTTGGCAACAGCATTGTCATCGCAGACTGGGCAAATACAGCCCGTTTGCTTTAGCACCCGGCAACCAGAGCCCTGCGGGGGGAGCATGCCGCCCTGCCTCACCTGCACGCGGCCTGCCTAGGGACCATAGAGTGTTTGCTACTGGCACAGCTGGCTCACACCCTGGGACCTAGGACCCTTATCTCCACAGCTGATTGGGGCCCAGAGCAGCCTGGTCAAATAGGCAGAAAATTAAATTTCATGCTATTTTGAGTTCTGGAGTAGGCTCTCTAAAGGATATCCTGCTTCTGCGCCAGCAGGCTAAGTGGCCCTCCACCCGGCTGCAGGACCCAGGGGACAGGACGGGAGGGAGGCCCCAGGACCACCAGCCAGGGCCCTGGGGAGTGAACGTAGACGGCCTCTGCAGCCACTGCCCAGCCCCCTCTGGCCATCGGGCCTTCCCGGGCAGCTGTGCTGGTCTCTGCAGGCTCTGTGGCCGTGATGAAGACTTGCCGGGCCGCTCCCTCGCACTGGCCCAAGGCCGCAGGCGTGCTTGGCATCACCCCACAAACCCAGGCTTTCCCTAGCCTGGTCCTGGGCCTGGCTGCCACTGCCCGCCTTCCTCTGGCTGCAGCCGTCCCTGAGGGAGTGGTGGAGGACTCAGGACTCTGTCCCCTCTTCCTGCCCCTTGAACCTGGTTGGGGGCGTCCTTCCTGCGCCCCCCCCAGAAGCACCCTGAGGGCCTCTGCCATTCCCACCAGGACCTCGACTCCTCCTGCGTGGGCGCTGCAGTCACTTCCTGGGCTGCGGTGGCCAGCTGCCACACCTAGATGGCTCAGCACAATAGAATGTGTTCTCACACGGTTCTGGAGCCAGAAGTCCCCGTCAGGTGTCACCAGGGCTGCTTCCTTCCAGAAGCTCTGCGGAAGGTCTCCGGTCTGTCTCCCAGCCTCTGCGTTCCTGTGGACAGCCGCTCCAATCTGCCTCCGTCTCTCATGGCCTTCTCCACGTGTCTCCTCAGGACCCTGTCATTGAATTTGGGCCCACTCGAATCCCCTGTGACTTCAGCTTCACTCATTGCATCTGCAGTGACCTTGTTTCCAACTAAGGTCCCATTCTGAGGTTCCAGGGGACCTGTCTTTGGGGGACACTGTCCAGCCCAGTTTAGGTCCCCCCACAGGACTGTGGCACTGACCTTGGCATTCACCAGACACGGTCCCTGCTGGGCATTCTGCTCCACTGGTGCAGCCCCCAGTGGTGCTGGCTAGGAGAATTCCCCAGAGCCATCCCCCAGCAAGTGGGGCCCCTGCAGCCGGCAGGTCCCACTCCGAGGACTCCACAGCAGCCCCACCCGGCCGGCACACCCCGGCGCTGGGCCCTGTGACATTCACTGTCTCAAGTCTCCAGCTCCTGGAGACCTTCCAGAGGGCCAGGAGGTCGTGGACATCACACTGCCCTGCCCTGGGCTCTTCCCTTGGGCTCCAGGGGCCAACCCCTGCAGGTGGAGATGACAGCCCTCCCACCCAGGGACATTCCCATATACATGGGGTTTGGATACACACCCAGCCCTTCCTTGCTCCTGGAGCCCTGGCTGCCCTGCCCTGCCGCTGGCTGCTCCCAGAGGCAGAAGAGCCCGAGGGCTTCAGGCAGTCACAGCAGCCACATAGTAGCTAGGGCTGCATCAGAACCCTCGGCTGTGGAGAAGTGGCAAGAAGTGAAAGTCTAGCCAGGCTCGGTGGCTTAGCCCGTAATCCCAGCACTTTGGGAGGCCGAGGTGAGTGGATTGCCTGAGCCCGCAGGTTTGAGA